CTATTTTTAAAGGTGGAGGTCTCAAACCTGTGAGCTCAAGCAATCCACTGGCCTTGGCCTCCTAAAGTGCTGAGATTATTGGCATGAGCCGCTACATCCAGCCTAGACGTTTGATTTTTAAGAATAAAATAAGGTAGTTCAATAGTCAGAGGATATATACTTGCCTTCCACTGGGACCAAAATTAAAAGTACCACCTTTATCAAAAGGGGTAATATCTCAGGGTGAAGGGCAAAGGCAAAGCCTGGTCTGGAGCACTGACAGGGCCAGTGTCCCTCAGGACATGAGAGGCAACTGTAGGACAGGGCACAATAGCCTAGAAGTGGCTGAAATGACCTGTGCCCCAACATTTCTCCAGCCCTCCCAAGATAACTTAGTATAAACAGCATCTATATCCCATGATGCACAGTAGCAACAGCAGTTCAGCAGAGCTCTGAGGACAGAAATGATAACAGTGAATTACACACCTCATTCATATCCAACTGAAAACAGGTTTCACATTCTAAAGAGTGAACAGGTCAGTCCTCATAAACAAGTCCAGTTCTACTGGGCAAATCAGAACATTGAGTATTAGTAGCTTAAAAAGGATTTTACAATACCCACAACTACAGGTGGCATTGCGGATTCAGGCTTCCAACCCTGGTCAGGATGCACACTGCTGGCAGAAACCCCTTTGGTATCCTTCCACAAGGGGATGTCCCCTTCTCTCCGAGATGGAGCAGCATTGAGGTGAATTCTCCAATTTCCTGCCTCTATACTGTCACTTACTCCACCTACAGGAGGAGGGATCATTTTGCTGATCTGTGAGGACGTAACATCCATGATGCTATGTTACAGAGGACGTGGGACCACAGCCTTGAAATGGATTCAGTGCTGGCTTGGCATGTGTCTCTGCTGCACATGTTTGCATGCTCCCCCAACTCATGTTGAAATTTAATTGCCATTATGACAATATTAAAAGGCACGACCTTTAAGGAGTGATCAAGCCCTCATGAATGGATTACTGTTGTTATCTCAGTAGCAGTATCTCAGTATCTCAGTATCTCAAGCCCTCCTCCTCCCTCATGAATGGATTAGTGTTGTTATCTCAGTAGCAGATTCCTGATTACACCGAGCGTGGTCCCCTCTTGCCCTCTCTCACTCCCCTGGCCACACTTGCTATTTTGCCTCCATCATGGGGTGACGCAGGAAGAAAGCACTCACCAGATGCCAAGCAGATGGCTGCACCATGCCCTTGGACTTTCCAACCTCTAGAACCATACAGCCAAATTAATTTCTGTTTATTACAAACCATACCTGAATGCTCAGGTATTCTATTATAGTAGGAGAAAAGGAGCTAAGACAGACTCTCTTCTGAACCACCTGTCCCCAGGCCAGTGAGATCTCTGAGTTCCCATATCAAGCAGATTAAGTACGGCATGCTTCAAGCAAGTACAGCCAGGTTTCTTTTCCTCTTTGTCTCAGCCTGTTAGCCTGCCAATGAGTGGGTAAACCAGTATCATGCTGGTCCCAAGGTCCAGCCAGATTCCAAAAAGAAGCAGGAGGCCTCTCCCTACCACCACCCAAAGCTCTTTGATTCAGACGGAGCAAGGCGAATAATGCACTTTGCTTCAGGTGGGTCTGTGAATTGCCCTCTACTGCTTAGACCTCAGAGCAAAACATGGTGAGCATGAGCACATTTATATCACTAGTTAAGATTCTTTACTTACAGAAATAAACCTGCAGGACAAAAATATCTAATATGTAGCCTCAGCTACTATTGGACTTATTTTACTGTACGGAAAAGTGAAATCCCTAACCTTTCTAAAATAGAGGGTTGTTGTTTTTCTGTTAAAGGCATCTGTAATATTTCCTATCATGGAGCAGTGCCTGAGAGGTTTGCTACAGGGAGGAAGTTGGATGGTAGCTATCATCTGACTCAGGGTATGACTTCCACAACCGTCCCTTCTTAAGTAGGAGGAGTTAGTGAGGGATGACGGTGAACACTGAATTTACAAAATAAATTACCAGTCTCTCTGTCACCTAGTAGTGCCATTTAATTCAGAGAATTTATGGAGGGTCTACTGAGTGTTAGGGCCAACTGAAGCTAAAAAGGGACTTATTTATCAAATCCTTGACTCAAACATATATTCACTCATTCAACAAATATTTTATCAATGTCTACTCTGTGCCAAGTGATTGCACCCAGGGCATCTGACGCCTGAAATACAGTCTCAAAGGGTGAGAAAAAAAAAAAAAAAACAGTTTAAAAAAGCAGCCTCCCTGCCCTCAAGAAACTGTGTTCTTCCAAATATGCTTTATCTTTATGCTTAATCTTCACTTCTGCCTCTCACTTAACAGTTAGTAACTCTGTCTACTTGGGCTTTCTGTTTGTTCTTTGCCTGGTTTCCTTGATCCCAAGTAAGGAATGATCTACAAGCTAACACGCTGAATCCTTCCATATAACAAAGCTTTCTCAGTAATGCAAATAACCACGTTGTATTTCAGCCCTGTTGCACACATGAATTTTCATAAAGTGGCCTACCCCAGGAATACAACAAGGCACTTTTCCCAGGAAGTATAAAGGCAACTGGGACATACAGAAAGAGAGCCTGGATAATCGATTAGAGCAGGTGGGATGCTGCTTCTCTTCCTAAGGGTCCTTTCACCCTGCTGATCTCTTCCTTCCTGTTTGCATTTCATAGATGTTTAGGATTAGATAGGTAACCTGGGAATGATTCACAGGGAACTGAAGGGCAAGATTTATGGACGCAGATCATTTTATTGGACACAGATCATTTTAGTGTTAGGGATATATAATCCCCCTACCAGAAAACTAGGTTTGGGTTTTCTCTATCATCTCTGAACATTAAATCAACCAGTGTAGTTTCAATTGTAAGGAAATATCTCGATATTCTTTTGATCCACAAACTATTTTTTCCTAACTTAGTATAATGTTCCCAAACAAAATCATCCAAATATTTCCTTGAATTAAGGCATTAGGAAGTAATATTTAAGCTTTGGAAACTTGCTTGTAGTTACTTAAAACACTGTAAATTTTTCCCCTGTCCTTGAAATGCACCATATAAATATTGCATTCGATCCTTAACTTACACTTCATAAATAATTTATTTCAAAAATATTCCTCCATAAGGCCATCACAGTTGCTGAGGTGTTCAGTTTTCGGGTAAAGCATTTATTTACTGCATGAGCCCAGGAAGGCTGGTAAAGACTTGGCTAAAAGCTGCACATGGAGCGAATTATGGTAATTGTATTAATGCTCAAATCCACCAGGCTCAATGCTCAAATCTGCTAAAAGGTTTTGTACTAGATTGCCCACATCTTGACGGGCAATGAGGCCACTGGAAATGTTTAACACTTTAGAGGGAAATTTCCGAGATTCACTCTTCATCGTTCCAAGAATTGCTAAACAATGTCTGGAGGTAGCTTCCAGAGGAGCTTCTGAAAGTCACAACAGACAAGAAACATCCTCTCAAATGCCTTCTGCTCTGGGTTCAGACTAAACCTTCAGGCACAAGTCACCAGAATGAAAATCAAAGGGAACTATTACACAATTAATTTTGAAGAATGGGTAAGTTTTAATTCATGGACAGCAATATTCTGCTTAATGATCTGCCTCCTTAGGACATCCATTAAAAATCCATTAACTTAACAGCCAAAATCTAATAAAGTTACTCTGGAAATTTTCTAGTAGATTAACATTATAGAGTCCTAATGACTATTTCTTGTAGACATTGCTCTATTAGGAGAGCTAATATGCTAATTAAACATGTGTATTGGGTGAGGTGGAGAAAAAGAGCAGAAAGATGTAAAAATAATCAGAAAACCAGAGTTGGACCCAAGTTTCCAAAGATGGTGCTAAATTCAATAAATATCATTATAGCTTTTAAAAGCAAAAGCAAAAATTGCCAGCCACCCAGTATCAACCATCGTGATCATGAACGCATCCACTTAAATTAATCAAGTAATTCAGCTATGAAAATATGTCATGCTCCACACTACTACTGGCAATATAAAGGAAAATAAAGGAAAATTCTTATGTTAAGGAGCTCACAGTCTAGTGCGGGATCAGGACACATAAACAGATAAGCAGTATGTACTACAGTAAAGTTATTTTCAATATATCATGGGACTACTCAGTACGAAACAAGCAACTTTTTTGAGGGGGGTATCTGATTTTAAAAATCACTTGAACAATTAAGTGATTGAAGCTGAAATTTGTACTCCCATAACATGGGGTCCTTCTAGGCTTCCCAGTGGGAGGGTTCAATCTGGACTTATTTACTGGTTGTGCACAGCTGGACAGGTCAGTAATCCGATTCTCACCTGTAAACAGGGTAACGGTGCTTTTGTTAGTAGTTGGGAGAACTACATGGAACGAGGTAGGTGAAACACTTAAGAGTAGTGGTTCTCAACCTGGGGGTTGCAACCCACAGGAACTGTATTACAGGGTCGCGGCATTAGGAAGGTTGAGAACCACTGACGTAGAGAAATGTGCTTGGCATACGGAAGGCGAGATTTACCACCTGGTCATCTCTATGTGAAGCTGGGAGTGTGGGGCCCTAAGGCCTGCGTCAGGGACCCCTGGCTCACGCTCCAATTTCTGTCTTGCTCCTCATTTTGATCTTTTCAGTTTTATCCTTTCTTGACCCTAGCCTTGCCTTGTGCCATGATCCTGATTCACAAAACTATTTTTCTTGTACTGACGCAAACAGCCCCTTGACTATGCTATTCTCAACTGCTCCATCTTCTTCTTCTGATTCTGTACTTTAATGCAGATTTTCATAGCACCCGTCTCTGTTCAGTTCACGTAAGCCCTACGGCAAGGGCCTACGAGTCACAATTGACTTACCTCTCCTAGAAAAACAGAACTGTATTCCCATACAGTAATGCATACAAAAACAAGAAACAAAAGACAAACCACAGTAACCAAAAAACCGCTCGCAGGTATTTTCACATGTACATACATATGCCCGGTCTTACGACTTCTTTGTTATTTTACCTATTTTGTTATAATTATCTGCAACAATGTCTTCCAAACCAACCATCTTCCAGAAACTGTCATCCCAGCCTTTCTCTGCTGAGTAGGTCCACTTGCACACCAAGGAGCAGAGAGACCTGTGAAAACAGGAGACAGGAGGAAGCAACAATATGAGCTAGGCAGGCTTCCTTCACATGCTGCCAAACACCCGCCCGGACAGCTGCAGTCGTGCTGGAGAAGTCAAATAAACCAACACAGACAATGCATATCCCTATTTGGATTTCAAAAATCTCCATATATACCTGTTGATTACGGATAGAACCTTTTTTCACTGTCAAAAATGAAACAGCCTTTTATTTGGATCCTGATAAAACTGTACATAAGAACATTTGTATTTATATCTCTATTTATGTGATATTTGTGAGACAATCAGAAATCATAACACTAATAAAACTGAATTATTAAATTTTAGATATAATATTGGCAGTTGTGGCTATGTTTAAAAAAAGGCTCCAAGCCAGGCATGGTGGCACACACCTGCAGTTCCAGGTGCTCAGGAGGCTGAGGCAGGAGGATTGCTTAAACCCAGGAGTTTAGGCTAGCCAGGAAATATAGTAAGATCTTACTCCTTAAAAAGAGGTGAGGAGGGGGTGGTGCCTATGGCTCAAAGGAGTAGGGCGCCAGCCCCATATGCCAGAGGTGGTGGGTTCAAACCCAGCCCTGGCCAAAAACTGCAAAAAAAAAAAAACAGAGGTGAGGAGGAGATTTCTCATCACTCAGAGATACATACTGAAAATTTTAAGTATGAAATGATAGGATATTTAGGATTTGCTTCAAGATAATATGAGAAGGTGAAATGAACGGCTAATCCTGTGGTTGGGGCAGGATTAGCCAAGGATTGCTGTTGGCTGGTCGGCTCAGTGAGGGGTTCACAGGTGATCATTACTCTCCTCTGTCTTCTTTTTTACATGTTCAAAATGCTCTCTAATAAAATAGTTTTAAAAAGTGATGGATATGGGCCTTCTAGTCTAAAGCAATAAGGGGTTTAGACTTGAATGCTGAAGGGTATTTTTCTTTCCAGCTTCATTTCTCCTCAATTCAGCCTTAACCTACAGTCTAACAATAAAAAAAATTATTTGAAGTTCTCTGAAAAAGTCATGTTTTTAGGCCAGTCTCAATGGCTTCCTCCCAGCACTCTGGTAGGCTGAGGCAGGTGGATTGCTTGACCTCAGGAGTTGGAGACCAGCCTGAGCCAGAACAAGACTCCGTCTCTACTAAAAATAGAAACTGGGTGTGTGGCAGGTACCTGAAGTCCAACTACTCAGGAGGCAGAGGCTGAGGCTGGAGGCTAAGGCAGGAGGCTGGCTTGAGCTCAAGAGCTTAGTTTGCTGTGAGCTAAGATGATGCCACAGCACTTGAGCCAGGAGGACGGAGTGAGACTGTCTCAAAAAAAGAAATTAAAAAATAAAGTCACATTTCTATACACTTCTGTGGCTTTGCCCTGCTCTTACCAAGATAGGGAAATTAGAAAAACACTCCCCCCGCTTCCGGACTCTTCTAATTCAAACTCTTCCCTCAGCCTAGACTGAGACTCTAGTTCCGGGTTAGGCCCCCTCGGACCCCCAGGACAGGGAGAGTATCTTGTAGCTCAGCCCTGACCAAGCTGTGCGATTAACGCTTCTTTATCCATCTTCCCTACAGTCCTGCTGCCTTCCGATTGTTCACCATGTTGTAACCCGGGAAAACCTCACGAAACACAATCTGCCACATCAATCTCTGATTTATAAACTGTTGGAACAAAACCAGCCCTGCTCATCTCGGCCTCACCAGTATCTCAGCCTCCCTCGGAATACGTCACAGCACACTGAAGACTGTCAGAATGGAAGCCTTAAGGAATGGAGATGCTCTGTCTCCTCCTCACGGGTAAACGGTAAACCCGGGAGCTCGCACAGTTTTAAACACAGCCCACATCTACTCACTGGTGCAACAGTCTGGGCGTACCCCACCGGTTTCCTCATTCCCTCACACACTTAACAATGGCCCGTGTTCCGTTACTACACTCCTACAAGGATGCTGGGCCTCAGGGAACCAGCGGTACGCAAAAGACTTGATCCTCTCCTGTCACAGAAGCTGAGAGTTTAGCTGGAGACAGAAACCGATCAAACCACCACAACTAAAACCAATACCAGCAGATAGACATAAAATGCTCCGGAGGAAGTGGGGGGGTGGTGGGGATGAAAGCCTTTAGCAGAAGAACCTGATGTAATCTGGTGGGGGCGGGGGCAGAAATATCCGGGAGGGCTCCATAGAGGAGGTGGCATTGAGTAAAGCCTGAATGTCTTCTGAAAGCCAATAAATGTCATCTATCATTAATGATTCCTTAGATAAGGTACAGATGGCGGAGCACACTGAGCTGCGCTAAGTGGCAGAGGCTGTCAAAAATTGGCACACACATTTTAGGAAAGGAAAACACTGTTCAATTTGTAATATGCAAGTCACGTTTGCCTTCTGCAATTAAGAGGCATTCAACGTGACTCGTATTCATCTCCTGTTATTAGTATATATTAAGCATTAGAACGTCAATACAGTTTTTTCCTTTCTTCAAGTCTGCATACATTTTGGGGGCACCCTCTATATACAGTGGTCACCCAGTAGAAACTTAATGTACTGCTGTGTATTATTCCCGTCATCTAAGTGAGATTTTTTAATGTATGGAGAAGGTGGCCACCTATGGAACAGGTGCTGAAACGGCGGGCGTGCAGACAGAGGTGAAATTCCTCCAGCACCATGTCGGAAATGCTGACTTTTGCATTTGCTCTGACAGCTCCCTAGAAAGAGAAATAGTGTGAAAAGACAGTCCAGAGAAACTGTCTCCAGTGACCCAGCCACACAGGACAACTCGATGCGAAAGCCCCATCATGTGTGCAGACGGCTATTCCTCCGCCTTCCTTCCATCTTCATTGATTATCGCTCCTTTCACCCACCCTTGTCTACTTGGCAAATTCCAAGTCACCCTTCAGGTCCAGATCTGTCTCTGTGCCAGTTTCCCTGCTACCTTCAAGCTAAACTCAGGCTCTCTCCTTTCCGTTACAAGTCGGAAAGACCACGCTAGTTTTTAACAGTGGAGGTAGCCTGAGCTCCTGGCCACAGTCTCCATCCCTCCACAAGTCCATGTCCTGTGCTGTGTGGCTATGAGTGCCCCACACCCTCCTCCTCTCACTGCAAGGCGGTGGGCAGGGCCTCCCCTCCCACCTCTAGACTTTGGATTCCGTCACCTACTGAAAAGTGAGTGCACACCTGCTCCTAGTCTAGGCCTCAAGAGATTTTAGGTGCCTCTGCTTACTCTCTTGAACCTCTGGCAATGCAAGGAGCAGATACCTGGGATACCGTGCGGGGCCCATGAGGTGGGTAAGAGCTACTTGGAGAAGAACAGTGAAGCCCCAACTGGGCAGACACCCCCAGGATGTCTTGGACAGGCAACATAGACCCCAGTAGGGAAGCCCAACCGAGCCCAGGTAATGCACCAGATCATGAGCCAAGTGAATGGTGACCGCACTTGCTGTGCTCTGTGACAGAGCGAGTTAAACGACTCAGCACTTTACAGTGCAACTAAGTTAATCCAGGTAGGTTTCTTTCGCCGTAAAGGAAGGGTAAAGGAAGGGGTGGAGATGTCTTAGTCCTCACGGGTGGAGAGCGTGCTTGGAGTGAAGACGAGGCAGGAAATTTTATGACTACACGTGACTTTGGCAACTCCATCCTCCATCAGGATTATTCAAACTCCATAAGGGTCCAATTCATTTGGGTCTCAGTAAATCAAACTGGTGGATAACACGAATGAGCTTTTAAGCAAGAGAAATGGCGAAGTTTAGAGAGTGCATCCGAGGCCACAGGCTCTCCAGAACTCCCAGGAGAGAAAGTACAGGATCTCATTTTGTTAGCGGGTAAAAGCCAGATATTAACAGCAGAACAAAGGTTTGCCTCTCCCTGAAGCCTCTATTCAGACAAGTGTTTTCCCACCACCCCCACTCCCGTCCCCTTCCCCCCTCGCCTGAGTTTCAGTGGAAAATTTGACCTCCCCCACAGCTATTCACCTTCAGGCAAGCAGCACCTACCAGCCCATTATGCCACACCGCCTCTCCACCCTTGCTTTGTAGGACTAGAATTAGAGATGAGGCCTTAGAGAGTCAGAGGCTGCACTGCAGGCTGACCCCAGGGTCAACAGCCATAAGGAATGCTGCCCCTGCCCAGGCCCCTCTAAGAGAGAAGGGCCACTCTCTGCTTGCCTGTTGGTTCACTGCTGGCCAGAATGCCAGGGCAGAAACTCCCATTCCTTTCATTGATATCAGATTTGTTAATGCCACATCGACTCTGAATACCTATGCGAAAGTCAAAATAACACGAACCAAGAGTGGACAAAACAGAAACAAATAACTAATTTGCGGGGACTAGTTCACCTGAAGGAAGATCAGAACATCTGTAAGAGGCAAGTCCCACCAAAGTAGAAATTATGAAAACACTGGAAGAAAACATCACCAATGAAAACAGTGAGAAGGAGAAGAACGGAAGAAAGACTTTCCAGAACTATAGACGCCGACTTTAAGATTAAATTCAAAATTTCCAAAGGAGAACTAAAAAAACCATGGGCACTGATGAAAATCAAATTAACATTCTGAGGATCAAGTGAATGAAATATTTAGAAGTAGCGAGGAAACACAGAGACGGAAATCATGAAGGGAGAGAGAAGAGGCTTAGAGGACAGATCCAGCAGCCTCGCAGGAGAATAACAGGAATTCCAGGAAAAAAGTAGGAGAGAGAGACACATGCAACTGACTCAGGGAGAAAGACAAAGAAAAGAAGGGGTGAGAGAAAGAAAAAAAATAAAAAAAATAAAAAAAAGAAGGGATGAGAGAAATCTTATAATTAAATGAATACGGGGCTGGATATTTTACTATACTGAGCTGAAGTAAGACCGAAGCCTGCAGATTAAAAGTCTCATTAAGTCCAGGAAGTGAATCCAGGAAATACTTGAATTTCAAGAGTAAACAGAAAATTATACAAGCTTCCAGACTGCAAGCAAAAGTTATTAATACTTAACAAAGGCAAGGGATTCAGACTAGCTGAAGGCATTCTCATCTAT